CCTTAAGTATGGCAGACAAACTCTTAAACTAGATGAAGTAGTGGTAGCAATTACTGCTAAGGATGCTGAATTTAAAAAGGAAGGTAAACTAAATAGTGAGGGGTTTTATGTGAGAGGAAGGCCTGAAAAGAAAGGCCACAAGAAGGGAAATTTCAGGGGTAGATCAAAATCTAAGTCCAAATTCATTAGAAAGTGTTTTCACTGTCATAAGGAAGGTCATTTTAAGAGGGGCTATCTTGATAGGAACAAAAAGTCAGGGGAAAAGGATGCTAGCTAGTGAGAGTTAGATATAGCTTCTGATGGTTATGAGAGTTCTGATGTGTTAGTAGTTTCTGAAAATGAAACTGATGTTGAATGGGTACTTGATTCTAGCTGTTCTTTCCACATGACTCCAAATAGGAGTTTTCTATCAAACTTTAAGAAACTAAAGTCTAGAAAGGTGTTGATGGGAAATAATGCAGTTTGTAGAGTCTTAGGAATAGGAGATGTAAGGCTGAATTTGCATAATGGAAGTTCCAAATGGCTCACAGATGTTAAATACATACCAGAGCTAAAAAGAAACTTAGTTTCTTTAGGAAGTCTAGACTCAATTGGCTATAGCTATAAAGCTCAAGGTGGAGTCCTTAAAGTAACTAAAGGGTCCTTAGTTATAATGAAAGGTGAGATGAGGAATGGGTTGTATACTCTAAATGGTTCAACCATCACTGGAATAGCAGCAGTATCCTTATCTCAGAAGTCTAATAGGACAACTTTATAGCATAGGAGGTTAGGGCATATTAGTGAAAAAAGATTAGTTGAGCTAGGTAAGCAAAAGGTTCTAGGAGGAGATAAAGTAGAGAAGCTGGTTTTCTGTGATCACTGCATTTATGGGAAGATGAACATAATCAGATTTAGTGTGGGAAATCGCTGTTCTAAGGCTATTTTAGATTATATCCATTCATATGTGTGGGACCAACTAAATATCCATCTTTGGGAGGTTGTAGTATTTCATTAGCATCATAAATGATTATTCTAGGAGGGTCTGGATTTATTTCTTGAAAACCAAGGGAGAGGCCTTCAGGAAATTCAGAGATTGGAAGGTCATGATAGAAAACCAAACTGGGAAGAAAATTAGGAAACTTAGAACTGATAATGGGTTAGAATTTATAAATGAAGAGTTTGATAATCTGTGTAGGGAAAGTGGAATTCTGAGGCATAGAACAGTAAAACACACACCTCAGCAAAATGGTTTAGCAGAAAGGATGATTAGGACTATTCTAGAAAAGGTTAGAAGCTTATTATCCTGTTCTAAGTTACCCACCAGGTTTGGGGCAGAGGCTGCCCACACAGCTGTTTACCTAATAAATAGAATACCTTCCTCAGCTATTAGTTTAAAAACACCCATGGAAAAATGGTCTGGGTATCCTGCAAACTATAGTAACCTTAGGATTTTTGGCTGCACTGTTTTTGTTCATGAAAAAACAGATAAGTTACAACCAATGGCTATTAGGTGTATTTTCTTAGGATATCCTGATGGCATTAAGGGTTACAAATGTTGGAGGGAAAAAGTGTATTATTAGTAGAGATGTGAGGTTTAATGAAGATGAGTTGGGTGGTTTGAGTCAGGAAGAGAGTGACAATGCAGATAGGACAAAGGTGTTTAATCTGGATCTAGGTGGAGATATTCCAAGTCTGAACAATCCTGTTTCAGACTCTGTTTCAGATTCCCATACCCAGGAGGATGAACTTAGCTTAGGTGATAATGATTATGATGATGATGATGGACATGACTTGCAAAATTATCAACTAGCTAGAGATAGAGAAAGAAAGGAAATTAGACTACTAGGAGGTACTCACATGCTGACATGGTAGCATTTGTTCTTCAAGTTGCTAAAGATTTTGATGATGAACCTAGAACTGTTAAGGAAGCCATGATTAGTAAAGATTCTAGGGAATGGAAACTTGCCATGCAGGAAGAGTATGAGTCTCTAATAAAAAATCAGACATGGATTCTTGTTAACAAACCTGAAGCCAGTCGGGTGGTTAAGTGTAAATGGGTTTTCAAAAAGAAAGAGGGTATACCAGGGGTAGAAACACCTAGGTTCAAAGCTAGGTTGGTTCACACAGGTTGAAGGAGTTGATTATAATGAAATTTTCTCACCAGTTGTGAGACATACCACTATTAGAATTCTCCTAGCCTTAGTAGCTCGGTTTGATTTAGCATTGGAGCAATTAGACATCAAAACTGTTTTCTTGAATGGTGATTTAGAAGAAAGAATTCTGATGGAGCAGCCTGAGTTGTTTGAAAATGGGTCTACAAACCAAGTTTGTTTGTTGAAAAAATTACTGTATGGATTGAAGTAGTCACCTAGGTAGTGGTATAGAAAATTTGACTGTTTTATGGTGAATGCTGGGTTTATTCGAAGTAGCTTTGATGGTTGCTTTTATTTTAAGTGTTTGTATGATAAGTGCTACATTTATTTGGCTCTATATGTGGATGATATGCTTTTAACTTGTAAAGATCTTTTTGAAATTGCTAGATTCAAGAGAGAGATGAGTAGACAATTTGAAATGAAAGACTTAGGGCAAGCTAAGTAGATCCTAGGAATGAATATTGAAAGGGATAGAAAAAATAGAAAACTGATGTTGTCACAGAAAGAATATGCTGGAAAAGTCATAAGGAAATTTAACATGAGTAATTCCAAACCTGTCAAAACACCCTTAGGACAACACTTTAAACTCAGTTCAGTACAATGCCCAGAAACAGAAGAAGAAAGGAAGAAAATGGCTTGCATCCCGTATGCAAATGCAATAGGGAGCTTGATGTATTTGATGGTTTGTACCAGACCAGATTTAGCTTTTGCAGTTAGTTTTGTAAGTAGGTTTATAAGTAATCCTGGGATGAGTCATTGGGAAGCTGTAAAATGGGTACTTAGGTATGTGAGGGTTACACTGACTACTGGTATTGTTTACAGCAAGGGGCAAAATCAGGATACTATCATTGAAGGATATGTGGATGCTGATTATGCAGGAAATGTAGACAATAGGAAATCCATGACTGGTTTCTGTTTCTGTTTCTCTTTTTGGAATAATCTGGTTTCTTGGAAGGCTAACCTACAGGCAATAGTTACCTTGTCAACTATGGAAACAGAATACGTTGCCATTACAGAGGCCGTAAAAGAAGCAATGTGGCTTAAGGGAATGCTTGATGAAATGGGTTTAAACCATCAGCAGGTTCTAATCAAGAGTGACAGCCAAAGTGCAATTTTTCTGTGTAAAAATCAAGTGTTTCATGAGAGATCGAAACACATTGATGTTAGGTTGCATTTTATAAGAAATCTGATTGAAGATAAAGCCATTAAGGTGGAGAAAGTTCTTGGGAGAAAAACCTAGTAGACATGTTCACCAAGTCTATTGTTTTGGACAAGTTAAGGCTCTTTAAGAGCCTTCTGCACATTGAAGAAAATTGGAAGAAGTTTCAAGGCAGTAAGGAAGAGCAATGATCAAGTGGCAAGGTGGAGATCTGTTGTGATGTGGCAATTCACCTATGCCCACGTGTATAGTCAAAATAGAACTTGGGTAGTCAAAGTTATACTGCTAAAGATTAAGGGGCAATTCTATCATATCCAGTCTTCAATAAACCTAATCCAAATTAGGTTTTGCTCATTCTGTTTCTCTTGACCTTTCTCTCTTGGTTAACAAAGAGAGAAAGTTTGTTACGATTCTTTGGATGTGCTGGAAATCTGAAGAACGTTGATGGAATCAAACGGTGGTGGTGAGGAGATCTGGGTTTTACAGAGGGGTTTTGTGCACTGTATAAAGGGTGAGCATAAATCTCTGTAAGGTTCTCTATTCTCATAGTAAAATCTGCTTATTGCCCTAGAGAGTGGATGTAGGTAATCTGTAAGATTACCGAACCACTATAAATCATTGTGTCTTTTATTTTTCGAATTTATTATCTGTTTATTCTTGTGATTTATCTGTTATGTTGGATGTTTGGTTTGCTATTACATTTTCATTTGGTCTCTTTAATTACAACAGTACCTCAATTAAAAAATTGAAAACCTTTAGAAAATAGCAAAAACCACTTAAAAATACCAAAAAGCCCCTTAAAATATTAAGACTATTAAGAAGCCCCCTATAAATAAATAAAAAATAAATCTAAACACTTAAAATAAAATTTTATAATTTTTAAAATAAAAATTGATTAAATTTTATACTATATTAAAAAACTGTTTATCGAAGTCATCTAATAAGGTTGGGATTTTTTTGGCATGTACTTTAGTGTTAATTTTTTGAATTAATGTTTGCCCCAGAATTCTTCTTCCTCCTCCTCCTCCTCCTCCCTTTCTTCCTCTTCTTCCTCTTCTTCACCGCAGGAGTTTGTGGTGTCATGGTCAGTTATGGATCTTCATTGAACTCTAGACACAACCATATTGGATCCTTTTTATTTGCTTTTAAAAGATATGGCTTGAATGAGGTGTGTTAATGATTAAAGTAAAAAAAAATTGGGGGTAAAAAGGAAATGGTTATAAATAATTTTTTATCAATTATCAGCTTTTAATGTTTAAAATGAGACATATTTAGAACTAATATATTCTATATATGTAATTTTAATCTAAAAGAACTTGAATATTTGAGACAGCAAATAGTATAAGCTGTAAAAGAGATTCTTTAGAAAATAAAAATGAATAATATATAAGTTTCAAATGGGTTGAATCTATATTTTATTGACATAATATTAAACTATATATAATTTTTTATTATAATCTATTATATATATTAACTTTATAAGCGTGACGAAATGTCTTATTTGACATCCACCATTTTAGTGTAAAAATTAAAGTAAAGTGCATACTGAAAACAAACAGACTTAACAATAAATTTCAACAAGACAGCGAATTGTTATAATTTTGCAGCAAATCCTACAACGTTTTGATGAAACAAGCAAATAAATTTTGCTGCAACACCCAGCGAGAAGAGGGGCCATACAACCAAAACTCTAAATCTACAACCCCAAAAAATAAAAAATAAATTCATTTCTGGAAAGCTTTAGCTATGCTGTAGGCCGCTGCTGAAGCAATGGCACCAATGAAAGCAGTTTGCATAGCACTCTTGAAGGGCTGATTCCCTGTAAAATAACCCTTCGCAAACCCAAATATCAGCAACGCTAAAATGGTCAAAATCACAGATCCGACCAAAGCTTCTCTTGCCACTGGAATCACCATGTATGGCAGAAGTGGCACAAATCCACCCATTATGTATGATAATGCAATTGTTACAGCGCTTTGAAGGGCTCTCATCGGATCTGGTTCCTCCAATCCAAGTTCAAACCTGCAGAAAATTTTTAAAATTTTTATGTTCTTTAATTTCTTTGTTTGGTTGTGAATTTAATTATGCCAGAAATATTTTAAAGAAAGACTTACTTCATCATGAAATCAAGCCATTGTTGTGGGTTTCTCCTTAAAGCATTAACCACACCTTCATATTCATGGGGCTCTGCTCCATATTGCGCTAGAATTTCTGCACATTCAGCTGCCTCTGCAAGTAAAATAAATAAACAAATTTGAGCGTTTTACTACAAGAAAAAAGGTCTTTTACGACGACGCTAGAAGCCATATTCAAGAAGAAAGATCTTTTAAGTACCATATAGATTTAAATTTCAAAACTAATTACCTATGTCAGGGACATTGATGATCTCTTCTTGTTCCCTCTTGAGCTCCCTCACGTAATGATCAGCTTCACTTTTCGCGGCTAGATACCTGCAAATCAATATCGATTTTCACATTGTTAAACAGAAAATTCTCATATGCAAGCGTCCTAAATTTATAAGTAAATGAGAAGTTCCGTACCCGCCGAGGCCCATAGAGATGGCTCCAGCAGCGACTTCAGCTATGCCAGCAATGAGAATGATAGAGGAAGTGACGTCAGCGCCGGACAGGCCGGCGGCGAGGGCAAAAGGGACGGTGAGGCCGTCGGAGACACCGATGATAATGTCGCGAACAACCTCACTGGACATGAAATGCTTCTCTTCATGCTCATCCAACAGCAGCTTCTGCTTCTCTGGGTCGTCAGAGTAACCATTTCCATTTCCATTGGCTGCCATTTTAGAAATAAAAAATATGCAGTTTGTTGTTTCTTGGAAATGAGTTGAGTCTAGTGAGTGAAGAGATGGATTGAGTGGGGGATTTATATAGGGAAAGCAAGTTAATGGTGAGTGTCTTGTGCATAAAATTGTGAAAATTAATGCCGGGAAATTTTATTAATTAAAGTTTCAATATGGGTCATTCCATCCTCCCATTGCTTAGTTTGCTGCTGCCAAACTGGGGAAAGGGGAGAACCACATTTTCCCACCCAAGGTTTGGCAAAACGACCTTTCCCACCCTTCAAGTTTCAAAATGACACTTCCCCGCCTTTCGTTAAATTCTGTTATGTCTTCCATTAATATTTTACTAAAAAGATAAAAATACCCTTAAACATTTGATTTTATAAATTTCATATTTTTTTTTAATTAGCCAAAAAGTCAAAAAATAAAAAATTGTTAGTCCCACTTACAAAGTTAAGAGTAATATTAAAATTAAATAACCTTAATATTTGTTTATTTATTTATTTATAATATCATCAATATCTCATCACTGTTATTCAACAATCTACTAAATTTATAATGCTTTGCATAATATAACATTTTTTATTTTTACTAATTAATAGGGGTGCTCAAAAGAATCGATTGGAACTGGAACTGACAGATATCCGGGGTTTGGTTCTAGTTCCTACCTAGAACCGGCCATCAACGGGTAGGTTCCAATTCCAAATTTTTGGAACCGTCACTGTGCGGTTCTGGTTCCTACAGCTAGGAATCAGAACCGGGAACCGGGACTACTAATATAAAATAAAATTAAAGAGTAGAGTGGTTAATAAAAACTTTTGTAGAAAAAGTAATGCAAATACATTTATATTTATATTTCATAATATTTAAAGTAAGTTGGCTTGACTTTTGAGAATCTACTTTTACAAAGTAATGGAGTTTGTAATTTTGAATTTGTAATTTTATTTTTGTTATCAAGTGCCAGGTGGGGGGGTATTTCTAAGTTTTTAAGGGTTTTTTTGCCATTTAAAAAACTTTTGGGGGTAATTGAATTTTACAGGGTACCCGGAACCAGAACTTTTATTACAGGTTCTGGTTATGGGTACCCTGTTATTTATTTATTTATAATATCATCAATATCACATCACTGTTATTCAATAATCTACTAAATTTATAATGTTTTGCATAATATAATATTTTTCATTTTTACTAATTAGCGTAGAAAATTAATATTCCTAATTAATTAAATAAACAAAGGAAAAAAATATATATTTACACTTGAACTAATAAATGATCAGGTAAAGACTTTGATTTAACTAAATTTTAATTTATAATAAACTATTTAAGGATATTTTTATTTTTTTCAGAAAATACTAACAAAACTTGACGAAGGGTGGGAAAGTATCATTTTGAAACTTGACAAGTGAAAAAGTGTCGTTTCACCAAACATTGGGTGGGAAAATGTCATTCTCCCATGAGAAAAGTCAAAAGTTGTATTCACTTTGGATTCATTCTTAGCAACATTTCTTTTTAATTTGTATGAAAAAGTGTTTGCGAAATTTTATCATTTTTTTTTTATATCAGTAAATAAAATAATTTGGTTACAATATTTAACAGAAAATTAAATAATTTAGATGATTAAGGTAAAAAGTAGATTAATCAAGTGTTTAGTGATGATTGAGGCAATTTTAATTAGAGACTAGGCGTGTGTGCGGCACAAGCCTCGTGAAAAAAGTGAAAGGATAAGAAGAAGTTGAACAAAAAAAGCACTTTTCCAGTTGTTGTTTGGCTTTTTTATCTTAGGCGTGTGTTTGCCACACACACCTCGTACGTACATATACCAACCACCAATAGTAATATTTTTCAAAACCAAAACAGCAAAAATAAATTAAGTCTAGTAATTTTTTTTTTTTTTTGAGATAATTTAAAATTAAACTCTTTCACTTAGTTTTAAAAATATTATTAAAAAATCCTTAGTTATAAAATTATCCTACAATTACGAAAAAAAAAAAAAAACCTAAAAAATATAAAAGAATCTCTTTAGAAAACAAACAGTACCTTACAAAATTATGAAAAAATTTTATTTAATATTTTCTGAACGAATAAGATGAGTTAATTTTAAATGAAATAAACTTATTAGTTTTGTTTTAAGATTAATTTTTAATAATTTTATTGTGTATTTAATGTTGTTTAAAATTCTTTTGTGTTATTTAATTATTGAGTTGGAATGAAAGAGTCAATTTTGTGAAGGAATTGATGAAGATAAAGTCGTGTATCATGTGTGAAAAAAAAAAAAAAAAAAAGAATTTTGCTTTTTGTAGTGTGAAAAGAAAACACAAACAGCTTCTAGAAATAAAGGAAATGATTCTGTCCATGTAAGTAGCACAGTGAATACTGACAAGCCATCATTATTTCAATTTGCAAATGGGTTTCATACTGAACTACCCATGTGGATATGGGTGTCCTTAGATATCTTGCTTTTCTTCTTTCTTTCATTTACAATAGAATATATATATATATCATTTTTATAAACATACATAAAACTTATTTGAATTATTTAATAATTAAGTCTCTAAGTATTTTCAGATTGTTATAAAATTATAAATAAGTTATTTACGTTTATTGTGGGCCTATAAGCTTTTATCAGTTTATTTGAAATATTGAAAATATTTGTATGTTATTTTTTTAAATTAAATTTTATATTTTATTGTATATTAAATTCTTTTGGTAATTTAAGACTATATTAAGTTCTTTTGTATCTTTTTAACCACACAACTGACAAATTTTTTAATATAAACTCTATTTGAAGAAACCTTACCAAATAAGTCTTTAATTCTACACGAGAAATTAAGTATACTCGTATGATAAAACATTATTAGTTATATCTTTATTTCACATTTGAGTCAAATTCCACTTCAGAACTTATTTATTTATTATCATTATGTAAATTGAAATTAATACAATTTCTATCTTAAAAAAATTAGATGAAACAGATATATAATATCGATTATAAAAAGTAATGAAGATTTGATATTAAAGAAGAGGAAAACATATCAAAAGTTGGCATATACTTATAATGCCACCACCCACCCAAAAACTAAATAAAGAAGAAGAAGAGTAAAAGCAAATTAGGTCACTCCATATATTTTGCGATCAAAATTTATGAAAAAGTCTTATTCACTTTTTTCCCACCCATAAAAAAGAAAAAACTTTTTTGTTTCTGCAACAAGTAGCATGAACACCTACCAGAGAGAGAGAGAGAGAGAGAGAGAAAAGAAAGATAAAGATCCCAATTCTCAGAAGAATCTAATACAGTACGTTAGACAGCAGGAGAAAGAGGTAGCATGGAGCATGAGGAGGCCAAAGTGCCTGTTAAAGCTGTGGTTATTATTAGATTTTTGTATGCTTTTTCTCTGTAGATAATTGATCACTATTCTATTTTGTTTTTTTCTAATATTGCTTATGGCAACCACACGGACCCCATTAAAGAAGATGAAAAAGAGAGATTATTCTACACGAATTGGTCCATGGGCATGGCTTTTGGCTTCTTCTGTTGTATATTGGTCATGCCCATGCACTGCCAAATGCTGACTTATTGACAAGGCCAATAAGTTTGAACCACGCGCGACCTGGGTCCCTGCTTCCTTTATTCACTTAACTTTAAAGGTTGATTTTGACAACACAATGATATCTTGTTCTTGTATATTAGAATGTACGAGTTTTGCTTTCTTATGTTCTTCTCTTCTTCCCCCTAGGGTTCTCTCAACACTCATATTCTTTTCATTCAGGACTCTTCTGTTCATAATAAGACAAAGGCAATACGTGCAATAAGTAATGTAATTGCTTATCCAATATTTCTTCTTTTAAGAGAGAAGTCTGTATAAATATTGTGCGTATATTAATGTGGTATGTTATATTTTTGTTTTATTAAAAAAAAAATTATTTTATTGGATATGTATAACATGATGTAATTGATATATGATAAATGAATGAATGTCTTTCATACATATGATAAATGTGTATATATATTCATCTAATTGCGAGTGTACATATTTCGTACTTTAAAATGACGTGGTGGGATTGGACTTAGGTACATGTGTTCATCCCCCTAATTTTTTTTTTTATTATTTTAGTAAATGCTTTATGGATGATAAATGAATGAAAAATCTTGAGATATTGAAGTGCATGTACATTTATCTAATTAGTACATATATACATGTTATACACTTTTATATGGAATTCTATGTTAGACAAACAACTATAGAGTTAGTCATACTCAGAAGTCTTGTGTTCAAGTCGCAGGAGAGACAATTATCGGATTTGTAAAAAAAAAAAAAAAAAAATTGATTAAATTTTCAAAATGTATTTGACATCTAAAAGAGATTACTTATTAATTTAGAAATTAAGAAAACTATGTAAGCTAATGGAACCCACTATATGCAATAAATTAATTCAAAAAGACTTGTAGATTTTCAAATAGAACTTTTGGAAAGTGCATGCACCCTCATAATTAGAAATTAAGAAAGTTATATAAAGCTTTAATTTTTAATTATCTTGATTCTAGAAACATAATTATAAATTAGTAGGTAAATATGATTATATTCATTGCTTCATTAATTAAGCACTTAAAATATTTTTAATTGTGTACGTGCAATATAAAAATGCTTTCCTGATAAGAATAATCAAATAACCCATTTAAAACTATTTCTTTAGGATAATTTAATTTTATGGAATTATAGAAGTATGCAACCTCATTAATCGGTCACATTCATAAACTTGCTAAATTCATTATAAGGGGGAACATTGATTGACTAACGTTTTCTATAGTGAATATATAGAGATTCAACTTGATCTACTTTTCATACTTTTGGAAGACAAATCGAATTCCTTTATGCAATTGAATTATGTAGTGAAAGATCGATTCAACAAAGTAGTAACCAAAATTGATCCATAATTAATTAATAATAAATCATGCATGGTTTAAATGCATTATTAATTTATTAATTATAACACTAATCATATTTTTTGTTCAAAAGAAAAAAAAAGAGAGAATTATATTCTTCTTATTATTCCAACTTTATAAAAGTGGGATAGTGGGGCTACTCATATAATAATGATGACCAATTATATCATATCTTATGACAAGAATATGGAAAATTGAATCATAAAGTGTTAGGTCCAAATTTACAAAATTACCCAATTAATTAATTGATTAATTCGACTTTAGTTTGTATTATTTCTACCTACAAAGTTGAGTGGAGAGACGCATGCTTTATAGTTGTAGGCTTAAAGGGTGATCTAAGTTTAAAAAATTGGATAAATTATAAATGTATATTTAGGTTTGTGGAGGACACGAATTTGTTAGTTTAAATTATTTTGTCTGAAGATATTTTTGAAAGGTGGGTATCAAATTAGCCAATAATTGTTTTGGATATCTTTATCAAATCAGAGATCAAGTATAGATTATTAAGAAATAAATAAATAAGATATGAGAGCTCTATTTACCATTTTTTTTTGTTTGTAATAATGATGTCCGAACTAGTTTGCGTACACTTCAATTAATTTCCTTGTTTCTTGCAAACATCATGTATTTTGGATGGAGATACCCCATTTGTAGATTAATATCTATTATTTACAATATCATGAGGAGTGATTGCATCCCTTATAATAGTCAAACAAACAAACTTAAATATAATTTTAGAATCATCCGTATCTTTCATTATAATAATGTCTATGCGTAAGTTAATTCAGACATTTTGGTTGCAAAAAAAACTAACTATATTGTTAGCATTAAACATTAGAACAGTAATGAAATGTAAGCGAAAAATCTTACCAAAATATAAAATTCTATGATCTTTAGCATAGTGGTGGCCGGCCCTTGAACAAATGAATAATGAGTTGAATACGACAATGAAACTTTAAAAATTTCATGGATATTGTGAATATGATTATACGAGCAAAATGGAGTCCCAACTCTTGAACCCAAGTGTCAAATAGTCAAGCATTGCTGCACCAATTTAAGATACACAAAATTTAAAAGGGCTCCACAGACGATGATTGTGTATCCCACTCAAATTATAGACAAGAAACTTCGCTAAAATAAAGGAGAAGAAGATGAAGATGAAGAGCTTGGTGCATGATTCCCTTTACACTCAACGAATAATAATAATCTAAAGAGGTAGGCATGTGCCTGCCACACACCCCCATTTTCTTGAGCCCAGTGATCCAATTTTGTGCCTTTTTTCTTTTTGCATTTTTGGTATGGCCATGAAAGGAGGATAAGGGTTTGAAGTTTGAATATCCAAATGTATTGCAATGACAAAGCACAATTGGTAACCAGAGATCCTCATAGGATTCTGCTACTGTATCATGATAAGACTTTTGTTATTGTAAAGAACGATGTTTTCAAACTGTGGTAAGATAGATTATGGTAAATGGATGTTGGCTTAGCTAAAACTTTATAAGGTGATAATCATGTTTTAAGTCTTTTAAGAGGAATGTTCAAGAGATAATCAATATTAAATAAAAGAAATGACTTTTTATCAAAGTGAAATAGAACATTCTCTTTTTCACCTAAATTAAGCTTATAACTCCTCTCATACGTGGCATAACTTTTGCATTAATTTAGGGGGTGTTTGTCTAAGCTTATAAGCTGGTCAAACTAGCTTATAAGCTCTAAAATTAAGTTGACATATTTGTTTATAACCTTTCTGAGCTTATAAGTTGAGCTTATAAGCCAAAAAAAATAAGTTTGGGCGGAGGTACTTTTTTTTCTGCTGCTTATAAGTTAGTTTGACCAAGTATATTACTACATTATCCTTATTTAATTTTAAAATTCCATAGTATACCCTTGTTTAATGTAGTATCATTTTTAGTCATTTTATAATAAAATGCACTTATAAGTCACATTTTACCAAACACGTCAACTACTTATCAGTTACTTATAAGTACTTTAACCAAACACATAATTGCTTAAAATTTTAAATGCTTATAAGTTAAAATTAGCTTATAAGCAATTGGTGCTTATAAGCTAATTTTCATAAGCTTAGACAAACACACCCTTAACCTTTTAATTGATAAGTTGAGTAGTCTTTTTCTATTAAATATCCTCGTACTACAATTTTCAATTATTAATAAAAAATATTTTAATTTACTGTGTCATGTTAAAACATAACATATTTTAATTTTCCAAAAATTTTTAAAGTGATACCATAATCTTATAGTGTATTTGTATTTTCATATTCTTAGATTAAAATCTAAGGTACAACTTGATTATGGAATAATTGTGAGTGTGCTTTGAAGAATAATTTTCTGTTATTTATTAAATATAAGATTAAATTTTACGGGCCCGACTGGGTTTGCCTGGACTCAACCCAGGTTTTTTGAAAACCCAAGCCCGGATTTTACAAACCCAGGCCTAGTCTGCACGGGCTTTCACGCCTACCCGGGCTGAGGCCCAGGTTTTGTTGATAAGGATTTTTAAAATTTGCTTGATAGAGGTGAGGGCTAGATGTTATCAAATAGGGGGTTAATGATTCTGTTAAGGGGTTTTATATTATTTTACTAAAGAGTTAAATTTGTAATTTTATGAAACTTTATATATATATAAATTTAACACAGATTCTAATATAAAATGAGATAACAAAAAACAATGAAAAAGTCAAATAAAAAATCAAACTTATTACAATATATTCACTCTTCCATTAATTATATTTACTTGTATGACGATCTTTGTAATATATATATAAGTTTAAAAACATTAGATCTAACACTTTAGATGATTGAGATTTAATACACTTGAAAAATAACATAATTTAGATTCAATGACAATCATATATACTTTAATCCAACTGCTGAAAAACTAATATATATACATACCCCAGCCAGGGCTTTCCTGCCTAAACCCAGGCCTGATTTTCCAGGCCCAACTGGGTTTTTTAAATCCTTTTCTATAGCTGATTTAATTAAGGTCAACATTAGAGATAATTTATTTACTTGAACAATAATCAACACATGTTTTGACAGAAAAATCGAAAAGCCATTTCATTGTTAGGTTAGGCTGAAGGTTGCAATAAAATCACATGGTTGATTGAGGCAGAGCGGATATAAAGAGAAGATGTTCAATTCATCTAAAATGTAGATTATTATTTGGATATAAAACGAAGATCATTTGGGTCAAGAATATACCCATCATAGATAAATAAGGAACATACCAAATAAAATGAGAAATATGCATTTCTGCAAACCATTGGGACTAGGACACACTGATATATTATCATAAATCCTAAAGTCAGATAGTGGTGGCAGGCGCAGCAAGAGATGCAAACAACTCAATTCATACTCTAGAAGCCAAAATATCATTCAATGTTTAAAATGAAGAGGTGATAAGACCTACAATTCAACTCTTATCTACTTCATCAAATATGATCCACTAAATTTACAACACATACAAGTTCTAGGTGAAGTTGCTCTAAATTGGGAACATTTAAATACTCCCACCGATCTTGGTATGAAGGAATGGCATCACAAAAGTGTATATAACATACGAAATGCCTTTAGAACGAACCTACTGTTTGGTGGGATGGTGTTCATAGGGTTGGTACAGATCATCACAAATCAAAATCTACTACTTAGGATTCCTAAGAACAATAATCACAGAATCTCCTCTGAGAAACATCTTACTGATGAATCTGTCCTTGTTAACCGGGAGGGCCTTCTTCTTGCCTTTTCCAGTTTTTGGTACCTACAACAATGAAATCAGATATTATTTTAACATAGATATATGACGGCTCATTAAAAAAAAATGATCCATTGCTAAAAACCAACCTCAGTCCACATTTCCCTGACATTTTCAAGAACCATGTTGCAGTGGCGATCAAATGCCCTCACTCGACCAAGAAGCTTTTTGTTGTTTCTACAATTAATGAGCACCTGTCCAATCAGGTCAAAATATTCAGTTTATGATGACAGACTTTCCCTTAATAAGCCAACTTAAAATCATGAGGCAATCAATAAAATTACCTGGGTATTGTTTTTAACACTCATCATTAAAACAGATAGTGGTCCAGTGTTAAACTCCTCTTCCTCGTTCTTGACATGCTGCAGCATGAAAAACCGGGAATTAACAAAATTGCAACGAGGACATTTAGGTGGGTGTGTGTTGTGTTCAAACTACAAAAATAACTTACATCTTCTTCCATTGGCCAGCTGCATAATAAGAACAAGAAAGACAGAAGAAAGTTATGTCAGTAAATCAGCAGCAGTGAAATACTCATGAATTTAACAATTATGATAACTTGGCTAGAAAGGGGCAAATAAGTACCCCGTGTTGATAAAAGCAGAGAGTTCTGATCTTCAAACAAATCCTAGATGTAGACCTGGCAAGAAAATAACACAGCAAAACTACAAATTAAAAGCTGAAATTTGATAGTATCAGGATTGAATATAGTAAAGCAGTGGGAACACATTAATTACCATAGCAAAATTCACAAATTAGATTAATAGTACTTTCACATCACTATTGGTTATCAAGATCAATTCTGAAATGGAAATGTGAAAAAAAGCACATAATACTTATAATGTGCTCATGCCTAAAGTTAACTTATTAAAGTTATCTTTCACAAACAAAATTACAATGGAGTTAATATTAAACAACTCAACAGTATCTTTTAACACCATGAAAACATGCAAAATAACTCATTGCAGTTACAAGTGCAAAAAGTTACCAGGGCAAAAAAATTGCAAAAAGCATTAAAAAAAAAGCCCCAACCAACATGAGCCAAATTCAAATTTCAACTATAAAAAAGAAAAATTGCAAATAACGGTCTACAAAATGGCTGCCAATTATTGTTATTTTTAATAATGGTCCCACTCATCCAAACACTTCAAGGGGGGAAAACACAACATAGAGAACAACAGGACACAAAACACCCAAAATCTACCAAAGTGGTGACTGAAATGAGGACAGATCTTCATAAAAATTCTCTTCAGCTCAGGTCTCCATAATTTTTCAGCATTTTATACTCAGGAGAACGAAAGTTTTCATTTAAACATCATAAGAGAAAAGATCTCCGATAACAAATATTCACTTAACACAATTAAAAAAAAAAAAAAAAAAAAAAAAAGGAAAACAATGGGCGACATAGTCTTAAAGATCAGCTTTAAAATTTATAAAGAAACTATAATCACAATTTCAAACTAAAAATAAAAATAAAAGCCTCTTCAGTTCAGGTCTCCAATAAATTTTCCGCATGTAATATCTTGGAAGAACGAAAGTATAATTTTATTCATCCTCAGAGACAATTCAGAAATCTACAATGCTTGTTTACACACATTACTTAAAATCTTAAATAAATCACAAAGCCTGAACCCTAAAAAATGAAGTATACTGTTTTATTATTAGAAATTATAAAAAAAATAAAAAGGGAAACAAAACCCAGAAGAATCGAAGATGTCTCCAACAACATTCCAGAGCAAAGCACGAAAAAGAACTACCAAATCCAAGGAGTAAAGTTCAAGAGTAAAACTAAAGTAAACACGGTTGAAAAAGGTTAACTTCGAAGTGAACTCAACTGGAAAATCAAAATTCTTGTTAATTAAAAATAAAGAAACCTAAATTGAACATCCAAACCCATAAAAAAAAAATTCACTGAACAATAATAAAAACTGTTTCCCATCACGAGCTAACAAGATCAAACAACAAAAACACAGTTTTCATCACTTAAAACAATTCCATCTCCACACAAAAACTCAACTCACCGAGATCATAAAAACTCCAAAAGGCTAACAACTTTAACCCTTCAATCATCACCAAAACAAAACATACAAATCAACCCAAAAACTCAAGTAAGCAAAAACCCCAGATCAAAATCATCAACCAACCCACAACCTAAAACTGAGAACCCAATCAAGAAACAAAAACAAAATGAATCAAAATTCAGAAAAGAAATCAGCCGCGCACGCTAAGAGCTGGATCAGGTTAGCTCGCTACAGCACGTGAAATTAAACAGCAAATAAATCAATTAAAACGCCAAGATCGGAGATTAACGTGAAAGGTTTACCTGCTGAAAAACAAACGGTAAAGCGCTCTCTCTGGAAACAACTAGGTCTGGTTTAGATAAGCACAGCACGAGACGAGAGAGAGAAAAGTCAAATGTAATTATCTATAATTGGTGAAAATAAAAAAAAGGGGTGTTTTGAAGTCCACCAAATTGACAGGTTTTGGGCCTTATAACACATGGCCAAGTTATATCTCTAATTGATACATGCACTTGGGCCTGGCATTACTTGCAATTTATTCACAGCATTATTGATATTTTTACTTTTAACTGGTGAAAATATGTAATTATCTATAATTGGTGAAGATAAAAAAAAGAAGACTTTATTTGCACAATTTATTTTTACTTTTAACTCATCCAACTCATTTCATGAATAATAATTTTAAAATAAAATACATTTAATTTAGGAATGATTTGATGATGTGGTATATTCTTACCAAATCTAAAATACTCATTAATACATTGATCTCAATTTTTTATATATATATATATTCTTAAGGAAATTTTTTTTGACACCCTATTTGTTTACAGGTTTTAAGAACTATCACTGTTCTGCTCTGGAACACTTTATTCCAGTGTCAACCTTCAAAAAATTTATGTAAATAATGACAATTAATTTTATGAATATTATATTTGTAAGTTTTTAATATACCAATTGACGTAATAATTAACGAGAATAAATTTTGTAACAATCAGTTTATATACTCAATTAGTACATTCTCTACACTTAAAAAACGATGAAAATTCGAGACAGCATACCCCTAAACAAAATATTTGCAATTCAAGTCAACCAATTTGGAAAAAGTAACAGATTGAGACAAATCGTTTTTATATACAGTATAAATTAGAACAGAATTATAGTCCCAGGCCCAGCTCTTAATATTTTTTCAAACAAATGCCTTCACATACAGTTTAATGTAACAGCATCAGAGAGCAAGTCTCATTAAGATGCTGCAGTCTGAACCTACCCGAAAACGAAGCCCAGATTAATCCTGCAACCAATTTTACGTCTAAAGCTCTTGCAGATTTTGCGCTATATACAACAGATAAAATTTGTTTCCCTTTTGTATTTTATTTGTCTTCAATGGAGTTCATTTTCATGAGTCACTTATTGCAGTTGCATTTGCATCGTCTACTAGTAACGATAGCTGACAAGCGATCTGAAATATCAGTAGTATATAATTAACCTTCCGAAACCATTCAAATATAGCAATTCAAACTAGAGAGAATGAATCAGGCAAATAGTTATGGTGGGTGCAACAGATGGAGTCTTCAGGGGATGACTGCACTCCTCACTGGTGGAACCAAAGGACTCGGGTTCTTATAATTCCCTTCTCTCTTTTACTCTTCCTTCTCTTTGCTCTTTTGCACGGAATTTTGTCTCATTTTCTTTTCGTAGTTTCTTTTGTGAATTCTGAGTTTATATTTCTTTAAAAGATTATATCACAAAGGTATATAACCAATACTAATATAAGGTATAAGAGTAATAATGTTAATTAGACAATTGATTATCAAGTCCGTCCAAACATCTCTGTAATTGGGATTAATCTACACTCCAATTGAAACAAATCTGAGACGATTGAGTTTATGATCATTTTGTTTCTATTGTCATCAGGCATGCTGTTGTGGAGGAATTGGCAGAGCTAGGCGCCATTGTGCAAACATGCTCCAGGAATGAAACAGAGCTTAATCAATGCATAAGTGGATGGGTAAAGAAAGGTTTCAAAGTGAGTGGTTCAGTGTGCGATGTATCATCTCGAGCTGAACGGGAAAAGCTAATGAAGTAAGTGTCTTCACTATTTAATGGCAAACTTAACATCCTTGTATGTATATCAACGTCTCCAATTTCAAAAAGTCATTCTGGTTAATTTACTTAATCATAGAACTGTGTATATACAGATAAACAACGTTGGGACAAATATATACAAACCGACTGAAGAGTTCAATGCTGAAGATTTCTCATTTCTCTTGACTACCAATTTGGAGTCTGCTTACCACTTGTCTCAACTTGCACATCCTCTTCTGAAAGCTTCAGGCTCAGCAAGCATTATCTTCATGTCTTCGGTTGCTGGTGTTGTATCTGTAAACGCAGGATCCATATATGCTGCTACAAAAGGCAAGTGATTAATTGGGTTAATCATATTGCAAGATTATATAAAACAGATTTAATTTAGTGAATTATATTGATGAAGCGCAGTAGCCATGAATCAACTTGCAAAAAATTTGGCATGTGAATGGGCAAAAGACAACATTCTGTGGCACCTTGGTGCATCAGAACTCCCTTAGCTGAAGATGTAAGAATTGCTACGTACTTCATATGCTCATAAGCATAATCGAGTAGATTGTTTTGAATATATTCTTCCTTGTTAATTGATGTCAGTATCTGAGTAATGAGAGATTCATGGAGGAAGTAATACGCCGAACTCCAATGGAACGCGTGGGGGAGCCAAAGGAGGTGTCATCTTTGGTAGCGTTCCTTTGCCTACCTGCAGCCTCTTACATAACTGGACAGACCATTTGCGTAGATGGAGGCTTTACTGTCAATGGTTTCTTCTTCCCACATTTAGAAGCTTAATTACTAAAAGAAACAGCTGAAACGGCTATTGCCCCACTTGTTTTACTAAATAAGTTTCAGCAAGGACCAAGCTGTCTGTGATATGTGAAATCAAACTGGAAATTATTCTAATGAAATATTATATGTATTTTTCTTACCTTATTGATTTGTAGCAGCCACTGGTATATGAGTCATGAGAAATCGTTTTCATGATCAAATGCGTGTTTCAATTTCATTCTTGATCTCTCCTCTTTTACTTTATAATTATCGACAGCAATAATATAGACCAAATTCAGTATCAGCCACTTGTGTTTTGGTTTAGTGGTTAAGAGATTCAATTATTGAAGTATCCTTTTCCGCAGTTACTTGGAGAACTCTGATTCGCAACTTGATTGACGCAAGTTACACTACTGACTGGCAAATCGTCTAATCCTCAGTATATAACAGTGTATTACAACCTTAAGAAACATTCTACTTCCAATAATAGCAATTACTAGGTTTGACAAAAATGGCTAAACCTGATAGCTTTGGCAAGTCCAACAGATGGAGTCTTGAGGGCATGACTGCCCTTGTCACTGGTGGAACCAAAGGACTCGGGTTCTTATATATTCTCTCTTTTTTTTTATAGATTTCTACTTCATGGACCTTCATGATTGCCCTAACTAATGGTTTGTTTTTTTATCTATATTGTTATCAAGGCATGCTGTTGTGGAGGAATTTGCAGAGCTAGGTGCCATAGTATACACATGCTCCAGGAATGATTCAGAGCTTAAGGCATGCTTAAGTGAATGGGAAAGGAAAGGTTTCAAAGTGAGTGGTTCAGTGTGTGATGTATCATCTCGAGCTGAACGGGAGAAGCTAATGAAACGAGTGTCTTCTCTATATAATGGCAAACTTAACATCCTTGTATGAATATCAACTTCCCCATTTTCAAAAGTCATTCTGGTTAATTTAAATAATCATATGACTGACTGTGTATATACAGATAAACAACGTTGGGACAAATATATACAAACCGACTGAAGAGAACAGTGCTGAAGATTTCTCATTTCTCATGACTACAAATTTGGAGTCTGCTTATCACTTGTCCCAACTTGCACATCCTCTTTTGAAAGCTTCTGGAGCAGCAAGTATCATCTTAATGTCTTCAGTCTGTGGAGTAGTATCAGTAAACATTGGATCCATATATTCAATTACTAAAGGTTATTACTGAATTATATTTGTTTCAGTACTATAAATATTAAATACAGCAAATTAACATATACTGACGATGGTGAAGAATTGCAGGAGGCATGAATCAACTTGCACAAAATCTGGCATGTGAATGGGCAAAAGACAACATAAGGGTTAATTCTGTAGCACCTTGGTTTATCAGAACTCCCCTAGCTGAACCTGTAAGAATTACTTTTGTATTTAATTACTTGATATATGTGGTTATAAAAGAAGAATGTTTTGAAATATTTATTTTTGGATGTTTCTTAATGGATTGTAGTATCTGGGTAATGAGAAGTTCTTGGAGGAAGTAAAATGTCGAACTCCAATGGGACGGAATGGGGAACCTGAGGAGGTGTCATCCTTGGTAGCATTCTTGTGCTTACCCGCAGCTTCATATATAACTGGCCAAACTATCTGTGTTGATGGAGGATTTACAGTCAATGGCTTCTTCTTCCCAATTAAGTAAGCAGCAACCTTCTTACAAAAACTCCTAAAAATTATTAAATAAACCATTAAAAATCATGTCTTGCCTAGTTTGTTTTGTCTTGTGGATATGAACTATTTTATTTTATTTTGTCAATAAATGATAATAACATCTTGATAAAAATTGTACTCGTCTTATATCATCAATTTGATATATATATATATCGTGGTTAAACTTCATTTAAAAAAAAAAAGCTTTTAAGAGTGAATTTTATTCAAACTCGTTTATCAAGATACCTCATCTCTTGAGCAAGGGCGGATTTAGCTCCATTGAGTGTAGGCCCTTGCCTAGTTTGTTTTGTCTTGTGGATATGAACTATTTTATTTTATTTTGTCAATAAATGATAATAACATCTTGATAAAAATTGTACTCGTCTTATATCATCAATTTGATATATATATATATCGTGGTTAAACTTCATTTAAAAAAAAAAAGCTTTTAAGAGTGAATTTTATTCAAACTCGTTTATCAAGATACCTCATCTCTTGAGCAAGGGCGGATTTAGCTCCATTGAGTGTAGGCCCAGATTTTTTTTAAAAAAAAATTATTATTGTAAGGCCACAAAAAATTGTTAATTAATATATATACTCACACCCACTTTTAAATTTTTAAAAAATGAGAACTATTATACATATATTTAGATCCACAAAAAACTTGTTATTAATATGTATATTCCAAACCTACATCATATTAAAAGTTTAAAACTCTTTTCACTCTTTTTCTCCATGGCTTCACTTGTTTTTTATGATTTTATCCCTAAAATTTTTTACTCTCTCATTCTCTTTCTCTTTCTCATGTTATTCGCTCTTAAAATTTTTAAAAACTGAAATTATTAAATTTTCACTATTCAAGGTTTCATAATTAGCTCCGTTTTCTAGTTTTATTAATTTTAGGTATGTGTATTGTTTATTTCAATTTAGTTTATTTTAGGATTTTTTTTTTTTTTTAGATTTTTTATTATAATTTGAGGAAAAAATATATTAATCTTGTGAGTTTATTTTGTATTTTGTGTCTACAAATGAACATGCTTTCTCAAATTAAAAACATTGACTATATTTGAAAGGACATTATTCTTCACCTTTCATCCACCACTTTCATATATTTTAAACGTCATCGTTTAACTGCTCAAAATTATTAAAAAAATTTGAGTTACTATCTATGTTTATACCAATAAAATTCTCCATTTTTTTATTAATTCATATTAAAAGTCAACACAACGTTGATTTTATTGAAGTTTTGGTTGACTTTAGCCTAATTAGGCTATGTATGATCAAAGTCATAAAAATTTATATTATAATCTCTGAAAGCTAAAAATAAAAATATTAAAAGAATGTTTTGCTCGAGGTTTACTTAACACATTTACTCAAAATTTTGCTTCTCATAGATTTATTCAAATAAAAAAATATTATGTTATGTTATTACATATTATTTTCTCTTAAGTTCTTAATATTGTATTATTATTATTTTTATTAAGATTTGGTGATTTTTTAAAGTTTTTACTAGTTGTTTGGTAAATAATGGCGAAGCTGCAGAGGCCCCCTTAAGCAAAATCTTGAATCCGTCACTACTCTTAAGGATCTTGGTAAACGATTATAGTATATATATGTGATTAGACTTCCTTTCTTTAATTAAAAAAAAAAAATAAATAACTAAGTTTTAAGAGTGAGTTCTATCCGAACCCGTTTGTCAGGATACCTACTGTGGTGTTGGGTTTGAAAGCTTTTCAAACCTGTTTATCATATCTCCTAAATTGAATCGTGGATTAATAAAAACAAAGCAAAGGACAAATTGAAAACTCTAATTATCAACCGAAATCCTACTGATTAAATAATGAGATGGCCAATTAATTAAAGATGGATAGAGTAGGGCACGTGTTGATGGATTGATGGACGAGGAGAATTTGGTGAATTGCATAACGATAATCTCTAAGCTTTGAGGTTGAATTTGGTTACAGGTGTTGGCTTCAATTAACAACAAATAATAATTATTAATCAACTAATTCGGTGGCTTATATTATAATTAAATCAAGAGTTTTTGTAATGAAGGGTTAGAGTGATCAGTGATAGATGATGATAGTGCATGCATTTTTTATAATAAATCTTTAGATTAATTAATTAATATACACTTTATTTATCTTTAATGTAATGATTATTTATTAATTTAAAGATGCGTTAGATGTATAACCACACCAAACTTAACACCCAAATTCATAATTAATTTATCCTTTGGAATACGACTCTAGCTATAAACCAAACTTAATTAAATTAAACATTCATTCAACTGAGAACCCAACACGATCCCTTGACTCAAATTGCATATAATATGGTCAAACCTATATCGTTTCGTGAGTTGACTACTTTATAATTACTTATTTAATCTTAGAGCATCTTTAATGATACTCTTTATTTTAAAAAACAAATTCCATATAAATAAAAAATATTTTTATTAATTTTTAAATATAAAAATTAATTTTTTTATTTAAATCTAATTGGTTCTTTAAATTTAACGAATATACTCTTTATTAAAAAAAAAAATACTTAATAAGAAAGAGAATTAATAAATAAAATATATAAAAACTTATAATTTATTAATTAAAATTAGGATAAAAATAGAATTTGCTTTTTAGATGTGAAGAGTCAAACTAAATATTTAATTTATATTTAAAAAATAAAAAATTTATTAAATTTTTATTTTTATAAATAAATTTTTTATAATAAAAAATTAGAGTTGTATAAACATTTATTCGAACATGTTTGACTCACTAATAATATTTAAAACCTAACCCGCACTGTTTTCTCCTAACATTATTATTATTATTATTATTATTATTATTATTATTATTATAATATAATTGGCACTGACTTCATTTGGGTTTCGTGCTTTAGAAAACTGAATATATATTTAAAAATATATATATATTTTTTAAACACCACAAGTTATTTGTACATGTGAAAGAGGATTCATTAGACATACTAATGGGTTTATACCCACGCATCAATGTGTATATTTCTACCCATTAATGAAGACAATTATTGGTAATCAACTTTTTAATTAAGGTCAATTAATTTTCATCTTCCATACATGACACCGTAACAAACATCTTATCACAGTTAACATGAGTCCAATCTCCAACTAACAATTTTAGGTATATTATTCAAAAAAACTTGAATTATTAATAAAAATAATTATTAAAGAGATTGGACTGAGGTTGTCAACCTCAACACCTCAAAAGATTGATTGAGGTACAAGCAAATTGATTCCAACATCTCGATCATTAAAAAAAAAAAAATTGTTATCACTCACTCTTTAACAAAATTGGGATAGAGACTGAAATTTGACTTTCTAGATATAGAGAATCATCAAACTCATTTTTTAATTCATATTTAAAAAAATAAAGAGTTTATTTGACTTTTATTTTTATTTTTTAATCATATAAAAAATTATTTAAAAATACTTTAATAGAAGATCATTGAAAAGATTTACCATTATCCGTTTTAGTGCTTTGATATTGTCAATTTTAATATCCAAAGGATTAATTTAAGTGCAAGTAAACCGATCTCAAAAAATAGAAAAAAAAAAAAAAAATTTGTCATAGTTGCCAAATGTTGTTAAAATCTAGCCCTGAAAACTTCGCAATTCATGCAACCATACCACCACGTCTCTTCCTCCTTAACTCAACGTGTCCTTCTCTTCGCACCACGTACCCCCCTCTCTACTCACGCTTTATCTCCCCCCACCAAACCTATGCTTTTTCCACCACCACGTGTTTCCCCATTCGCCAATCCCCTTCCTCGCCGTGTCCCATTTCGGGTTCCGTTACTTTCTTTTGCCTGGGAAACGAAAAATACGCCCCACCCTCCACACCTTAATCCCTTATAATACTTTCCATTTCAAACATTTTCACCATCACCTAACTCAACCTAATCTAACCTAATCAAACCTTTCAAAGCCAAATATTAACTATAGTCGAGTTAATATTTCTCTAACTTGGGTCAACATTGTCTGTCACGTGGCACTTACTTTTAACTTCTTGTCAATATCAGTTTCATGCAACCAGATACAGTACAATTGCTTGCCAGCCAACCAGACAGATTCTACACGTGGAACCCTAGTGTTAGGGTTCACTTACTAGTCTTGTCCCCACTCACCTTACTCTCGTATCTGTCATGAACACGTTGTCCACTCATATCTCTCCACCTTCATCAAGAATCCTTTTTGTAGATTATGTTGCTGCACCCCACCTGATTATATTTCAGTACGGTTTTGCTCTTTTCCATCAATCAAACTCAAATAAAAATCTTCCTCCCCGCCGAACTTAAAAAAAATCATATTAATCTTTGTGTGGGGCCTTAGCCAGAAATTAATCAAACAAATGTACACGTAACCCCCTGCTACACGTTTAATTTATGCTAAATGATATTTGTTTAACAGTAATAAATCATATATTCTTGAAAGAGACGAAACGGGTCGGGGTCGGGTGAGTGGAGAGTAATTGTGATTTGTACACGTGTATGTGGATGGAGGAATGAATGGTGCTCTAGATATTCTGTAAGCGTCAACGACGTTGACAAGTGGACCCGGGTTTCTCAATCACATGTGATACGTTGGAGGATTTGATTGGGCCACAAGACCCAGGCGGAATAAAGTAGGAATTGGAAAATTTATAAAGAAAAATTGTTGTTCAATTTCGTATACGAGGATTTGGACACGTGTTACCAAGTCAAAATAAACTAAACAAAGAGAAAAAAAAAAAAAAATAAAAAAAAAAGGAAAAAAAAGTTTCACACCGAAACAACGCCTTGGAGTAGCATATGCGTGTCAGAAAAGGAAGACTCTATAATCGCGTTGTAGATATTTCAATGGACCACGTATGTCCCTACCAGATTGATAGTTACACGTGTTGGAAAGTTAACGGAAGTAAGAAAATGGTATCAACGGTGAAGATGTGTTGATTTAGGCAGCGAAGCACTTGCGTTACACACACTAGCGGCTGTTCGGTCAGCCCGTGACGGTAATGGGCAGCTGCCCGTGGAGAGAAGCACATAAAGAAGACTCATTTACAGGTCCCTACGTAAAATGCCTTCCATCCCATGAATGAATTCCCTTTTAAAGGCTTTCTCCCTCGGAGCGCCAGCCTGCTATTTCATCATTTTCATTTCCAACATTACACAGCATGAGATATTAAATCTTCATCTCTCTTTTGTTCTTTCTTTCTTTCTTTAACAAGGTAGTTCTTACTGAAGAACAGAAGAGAAGAGAAGAGAAGATAAAGAAAGAATCAATCTTCAATATTTGTTAATTGTTAGGGTCGGACCGGAGTGTAATTAATTTCCGGATGGCGGAGATATGTTGTGGAGTGGTTAATGAGAGTGAGACACCGACGCCGTGCGAGCCAAGCCCACGTGCAGCACGCCGGAGGAGAATGGAGATCAGACGGTTCAAAATTGTCAGTGGAGTGGCGCCACCAGAAACGGAAAACGGACAACAAAAACGGCCGAAGAGAGAAGTTTATACAACGTCATGTTCTCGTGACTGCGATTACGCTGTAGAGAACTGTGCTTCGGATGAGGACGAAAAACAACTAATAATAAAAGTAGAAAAAGGAAAATCGGAAACAAAAGGGATAGTAATACCGAGTCATCGTTTAAGTTCTTTAGCATTACAAGAATCTTACCCGAAGTACGGCGTCGCTTCGGTTTGTGGGAGAAGAAGAGACATGGAAGATGCTGTGGCAGTTCATCCATTCTTTTTCAGCCAAAACTACGAAACCACCCCTGAAGAATTGCACTATTTTGGTGTTTACGACGGCCACGGCTGCTCTCATGTATAATAAATCTCTTAACAAATTTGATTAGACTTAGGTTCAAAAATAACTTCATCATTTACTTATATCAAAGTTTATACTGTAATTTTTTAGGTTGCGATGAGATGTAGAGAGCGGCTGCATGAGCTGGTGAAGGAAGAGCTACAGAATAAGGGAGCGGAAGTAACGGAATGGAAGGGGGCGTTGGAAAGAAGCTTCACGCGCATGGACAAGGAAGTGAGTCTGTGTAATGCTGCGGCGGTCAAAGCTACGTGCAGATGTGAGCTTCAAACGCCAGAGTCCGATGCCGTTGGATCTACGGCGGTTGTAGCTATCGTAACGCCGGATAAGATTGTCATTGCCAACTGTGGAGATTCCAGGGCCGTTTTGTGTCGTAGCGGCAAGGCCCTTCCTCTGTCTTCTGATCACAAGGTAATTTTAAGTAATTAAACTATTCATCCTTTTTGTTTCATGAAATTACAAAATAATTAATTAATATTGAGTAATGTGGACTCATTTGTCTGGTTAAAACAGCCGGATCGACCAGACGAGCTGAACCGGATCCAAGCAGCGGGTGGCCGGGTTATCTATTGGGACGGGGCCCGAGTGCTTGGAGTGTTGGCTATGTCAAGAGCAATAGGTGACAACTACTTGAAACCGTACGTGAGCTGTGAGCCAGAGATAACGATCATTGATCGGACGGCGGAGGATGATTGTCTGATATTGGCGACGGACGGCCTGTGGGACGTGGTGTCGAACGACACAGCATGTGGGGTAACGCGTATGTGCTTACGTGGCAAGGTCCGTGCACCAGGCACGGCAGCAGCAAAAGCAAAAGTAACAAAATCACGACCGGGATTTCCGGCGGAGAACGAGGTAGGGACCACCAATAATGGGTGGGAGAAATCGGACAAGTCATGCTCGGACGCGGCATTGTTACTGACGAAGCTGGCATTGGCTAGGCACAGTACTGACAACGTGAGCGTGGTGGTGGTGGATCTTAGAAAAGCCACGTAACCATTAAGGATGAAATAGAGGAATTAAAGTTGGGTTAGTTTATTTGGGTGGTGGTAGAGTCGAGGGTTTTTTTTTCTTAGTTTTGAACGACGCTTCTTTATCTTGAAATCTTTTTAAAAAAAAAAAAAAATTGAGGGTGAAGATGACGAAGAAGAAGAGATGGAAACTGTTGCAAAGGAAAATGGATACAAATTAAAACTTAAAAAAAGGCAAAATCCAACAAAGATAAAATTGGATTGCTAATGTCAGAGTTAAATGTTTTTCCTTTTCCTTTATTTTTTTTTTTTTCGGTTTTCATTTCATTTTCAGGTCGGAATGTCAAATTGTCAATATCTTCAATTCTTCATCAAAAATCAAGAATATGAAAGGGTGTAATAGTTTGTGAAGTGAATATAAATATATTTTAAATCAGTTTGTGTTCTTTAATCTTTATTATTGAAGCTGTTTGCATGGATGATTTGGGTTCTCAAAATCAAATGGGAAAGCTGTCTCGAGGTTTGTATAATGTATGAGGGGAAGGGAAAGGGATCACGGGTGATTGTCTCGGTATTCCATTAAAGTTATATTTAATGCTGTAATGCCAAGGTGTTTAGCAGCTCTAGAAACGAAATGGGTTCTGAATTCTGATGCAATTCTACATTTTTACCTATGACTCCGTTTTCTGTTTTTATGAAGGTGTTGAGAAGAATGGCATGGGGCAAAGAGAGTTTTGGAGTAAGGAATATGTTGGGTGAGTAATTCAACAGATTGGCCCCACAAATTTCTATCAAACATGGGATTTTAATTTTTCAATAATTAAAAAGTAAAAAATGAAAAAAAAAAATCACCTTGGGTTGAGAGTTTCAAGCTCTCCAAAACATCTGTTGTGATACAGAAACAAACATTCGTATAATATGGAGACATCACGAACACACTTGTTAAATCAGCACAGCACCTTCCGGGTTAGGCATAGACATAGTGCACTGCTCCACTTTTTCCGTACTATAAAGTATAAATATAGTACCCCAAACATCCAAACCTACCACTTTTCGTTATCTAAGTTTGCCACCTCAAGTGTCCTTTTCCGAGTCCCCCGTTCCTGCAACTACTCTTTTGCATTTGCATGACATTGTTTAAGCAATCCATTCTTTTCCTACTTCTTTTAACGATATGCACTCTAGCTGGAATCCAACAGATTGATTCCTATCCCTGTCATTTACGAAACAATATGATAATGACATCCCCTTTCAGCCGACGTCTATCACCACCCAATCAAGCATTTTTCTACAGGGTAAAAACAGATTAATTCACTGTTCCTTGATTATTAGTGACTCAAGGATTCAAAAACATCCATACAGCATCGTTCATTGAGTGGTCTAATATGGAGAGAAGGGGAAAAACTGAATGAAAAAGTTTAATTTTAGCACAGAAACTTCATTAATGTATTGAACAAAAGAGCAAAATGTTCAAAGAAATCTTTAATTATTCCACATCTACACGCTTAAACATGAACAACTACATGATGGTTGCACACAAGATGGGGCAGGGGTGGCAGAACAAAACCTTTTCCAAGATGCCCTTTATCCGGGAACCCATTTTCTAAATGTCAAGCTCATTTAAAAAGAATTTTCTATCGTCATGTCTGCTTGTTATCATCTTCATCGTCACTACTCTTTAGTGCCTTCAACTTTCTGTAACCCTTATCAGTACCAAATATCCTGAGAGAATATACAAAAGAAGCATCACAACATGTAGTTATCAGGCATCTCGAATAAGAACAAAATCTCAGCAGCAAGAGCATGTTTAAGTCTAATTATGCTCCCCATTTACCATTAAGACCGAGCTAAACTACAAAGTTAAACTGTATAGGAACAGAACTAATGACTTCAGAAGTTAGGAAAGCATTTCACTATTGTCATACAAAATCCTATATTTAAATCTTTCATGCATTCAATCTCTGTCAAAAATATACATATGGATTGTAACAAATGATGCCATAAGCAACTTTCACAGGAGAGAAAAAAGTGATGCACTGTAAGCAACGTGGAGCAAGAGTACGTAGCAATAGAAAGCATCAGATACTAACCAGGGAATATCAATATGCATAAACAAAAAGACTCAAGCAATAACAATATCTTTTGATACCTCATGCCAAGAACACTAACAGTATCTGATTAATTTTCTGCAAGTAAAATCTTTGAAGATGCCTGGGACCTCATTTAATCAGATAAATTAGAAAAGCCTTACACTTGACAATTCAAACAACAGGCATACATATAACACCTGGTGGCAGGACCTACAAAGATTACTAATGCCAGGCAAAGATATGACGCGATGCTGCATAGTCATGATGTTAGTCCAACCCAGACAGCGGAAACATTGCACAATGACACCTGAAGAAATTGTTAAGAGTAGACATTGAGCATAAATTTGACCCAATTTACACTAAAACTTTAATCCAGGTTAATGAGAAAGGGAAGAAACAAAGAGGAAGCCACTCAATACAGTGTTCGGATGATGAGTAGAGAACCAAGCAGGACAGAGAACAGGACTCTCCCCCCTTCAGTGACTATAGTCTGATATCATAGATGATTTTTAAGTACGAACAGTTCATCTTCTATACGTTTCTAGTAGTTGATTGAGACATTATATCTACTTAATTAAGAATTAAATTTCACAGAGGGCATTGTTATTATCCTCTATTTGATAGTTATGCATACTCAGTAACAGAAAAATATAACGGCAATTGCTACATATTGCACTAAAGACATGCAAAAAGTGTTAAACTGTGCAAGCCAACGACTTACCAGTCCATGTAAACAAAAGTTGATGAGTAGTTGCCAGACTTGGTATAAAGCAAACGATGATGATAGTCATGAAAATCAGCGCTGAAAATTTACAAGAAAAGGATTTTAGCAGCAGCAGACAAAAAAATAGGTACTTAAAATGAAAACCAAGGTCAATATACTTGCTAGAAGAAACCGTACAAACTCACCCTCCATACAAAGGTATAAAGTTTGAGAGGCTCCATGGAAAATGGTAACCACAATGTGCCTCAACCGTCTCCAGGACTCTAAGTACCATCCACAACCAGAGAGTCATCAAATGGGGCCCAGTGATGGCAGGACCAATAATGGTAGCAAAGCCAAGAAACAATATTTCAGCAGGGTGAGCATATTCAGATGTCAGTCCGAATGGGGGTGCATATCTGTGCATGGAAAAAACAACTATAAGTTGATCTGAGAAAAGCCAGGCACTAATTTTGTACAGAATTTAGCACCAGATACAAAACCAGTTTGCTTCTCATGAGGACACTGTGTACGTGCTTGTACACCCATTTTGTATGTAGTATGCGATGCCCCCAATAAATACAAAATCTTCCGGGATAAGTAGAATATTATCGTGAAAGAACCACTTTCTCAGAACCAGACAGCGGTTAGCAAAACACCTTCACACAAGATGAATGCATATATACAGAAGATATAGTTGAAAAATGTTTCCAGAGTAACATATGCATCACATACAGCAATGTATTTATGCAAAAAGCCTTAGTGCATAAAGAACCTGAAAATACCAGGACGGCAAAGGAAGACTACTTCGCATGCCCATGAATTTGAAGACGGGATAGGACAAAATCATAACAGGTAAGTTGACACCAAAGTGATACAGCAGTAGTCGAGTAATACATTTCTCCTGAGCTGCAGGGCTTTGTTTTTTGTCTGCAGAGAACCAGAATTAGTAAGATTCTGAACTTCAAGTAGTTAAACATTCAGACATTGAGAAACCTTGGAAAAATGAAACGTCACCAACACTTATAAGGCTACATATGAAAAGCATGCATAAGCCCTTAGAAAGTACATAAAAATTAAAAAAGGAAAAACACACTATAGCTTTCATCATGTTGATGCATGTAAAAATGATAAGATGTCCATTAAGATGAGAAGCAGCATCTGCATCAAAGAAATTGCAGCATGATTAAATCATTGAAAGCAATACCAAATCCATTCTAATTATTTAGCAACAAATTTCCTTCTTCTTTTTTTTCCTTCCCTTCTATTATAATTGCTTGCTTATATGTTACCAAACAAAAATGTTAAGGAAGTGACAGCATTAATAAACAGAAAGGAGAAAAAAACCAGACCTGAATCTTGTATTTGTTCAGCCATCCTGCCCTCTCAAGATATTAAAAGGAAGTCCATAAGAAAAAGACACTTTCATGAAGAAAGAAACTTCCTAGACACGCCAGTTGAAAATCGTTGAAATGTGTGATAAGATACTGCATCATGAAGAAAAGAGTTTCAAGAATAACCTTATATCATCAATCATCAATCCTAACCAGATAAAATCATATACACCTTTTTCTATCAGACAAATGGAACTAAAATTTTAGTTCCACAAATAATTAAAGTCTGGCATTTAACTCCTCGAATTGCCGCTAACGATTTCTTTGGAAACAAACAAGATCTAACAATGGAGTTTCCTATTCATACTAACTAACAAGACAGTGAAGCCCCATCAAAGTACAAGCTCCACTCTTTGAAAAACCAAAATCCTCCAATAACGTATAACACTTATTATCTAGTCTTGAATAAAATCACAGAAAACTAATGCAACCCACTAATTCATATGCATAAACAAAGAATTACAAGAGAGTAAATACATAAACAGATCCATGGGAGCAAAGGTAAAATCCTGAGTAAAAGATGAAAGAGAAAGAATACCTGCCAAGCAGATTCGACGATCGACGCCATGAAAGTTGATTCTCAGAGCAATGTGGCTCAACAACCAAAGAGTAATTGGAGAAGAAGAGAATGCAAAGAGCGAAGAGAAATGGAAGATTTAGAGGCAGCAAAACAAGGGCCACCCACGGGATAGATATGAGACAGACTGTCTAAAGGAATCTGGCTTAATTTGGGCCCTTTTATAGAATTTTTGGCAGTAAATTTGTTGTCACTGTGGGCGTGCGGGCGTGCGTGCGTATACCTATATCTATATGTGGAAGAGCAGCTGTGCGTGGCCAGCGCAGATGTATGGCAAACCTTTTGTAGAGTTGCTCTTGTATTTTTCTCCTTTCAATCGAATATTTTCAATCCTTTTGACTCTTTCACTACTACCATTCATTCGCTTGACCAATTTTTGAGCCGCTGATGTACTTCTACCACTACCACTACCAATCTTTCATTTTCTACCCTTTCCTGTCCACCTTCAATGAAGGCAGAACATATTAAATACATTTTCGCTACTATTAATTTTGTATCACGTGGGTCGGCATTATATTAACCCTAAAATGAATATAATATAGAGTAAACATGTTCCCACCCAAGGTTTGATGAAATCCCAGAGTGTACGCAAGTCTATTTATTTCATATTCCACCCTTAAAGTAACGGAAATGGTTAGATATAGGCTCAGGGTAAATTGGTCATTTCACAGAGGAGCGGCACATTATCAGATCGACCCTGATAAAGTTCGACGCACGATAGCCAACCTCCCGCCGACTGTTTTTCGCCTTTTCTGTGATTCTTCCACCAAAATCACCCTTGTCACCACCATTCAAACCTCATCCTCCCCTCACAAAACCGTACCTTGACAACCCTTATATCACTCGCCGATCACCAGCCACGACAGCCACCACATGTGCTTTTTTTCGTCGATCTCCACCGTGAATAACCACTAAACGTTCTGGGACATAGGGGTTTGTAGATTAGGAGATGTGATTGTAGTGGTGGCTTCGAATTAGTTTTTCATGTCGGAATCGACCGAATCCGACGAAGAATGACAAAACCTAACCCGTGACGCCGTCGATTGGAGAGGTCAAGGTCGGAGAATCAGAGGGGTTTTGGACGACGGACGATGGGAAGCTGATGGAGAGACCAGGGTTTCGCCTCATCGAAAACAGCCCATTCGTGAAAATCGAGACTGTGCGCAGTCACTGAGAGTGTAATTGAAGTAATTTCAAAACTAGTTTAATTTTATAATTTTAGTAATTTAGGGGCTAAAATATAATTTATTAATTTAGGTAAGGGCATTATGGTAATTGCACCCTCACTACCCAAAAAATGTTAACAGTGTTATTTTAGGGGTGGAAATAGGATAAATGGAACTTAGGTACCAACTTGGATTTCGTCAAACTTGGGTGGGACATGTCGTTTACTCTATAATATAGTGAATCTCATTACACAATTAAGTAGTAATGTTTGTTTTATTGGGTTGGTAGTTGATTAGGTTTATTATTATTTATTCATTTGATACTAACCGGTCCACATGTATCACTCCCTACTTGAACCTTCTCTATTTGGGAATATAATCTCACCATTTTAACCATCTATGGTGGTCAAGTGAGACGATAAAACTCTTATGTATATTACTCAAAATCTTGAATTGATTCATTTCGATTGATAAATAGAGTGACTTGAAATGTTTATCTAGCCGTTAACTTAATTTCGAGGGATTGTTAGATACATACAAGCTGGTCGGACACCCGACACCAAAAGAAAAAAGAAACCAATTTTTGCTTTGCATTGACTGTAGCCATGTGATAGCAAATAAGAATGATCACAAAGAAAACAACTCCAGTAAGTGATGCAGACGAAAGGGATCATATTTCCATATGAAAAGTCCACATGCTTTTAGCTTTCTACAAATATAAGAGGATGTGAACCTTTTTTCTTTTGGATTTATAGTGAACAACACATCATGCGCCATCGTATCTTGCAGTTTCTGTTCTTATCTTATATCTGTGAATTCAACTCACTCAAGACATTAGTACAAAATATCGTCATTTTCTTGATAGATGACTGACCGCCTGAGCTATATTGAGAGAACCTATGAATCAAATCACATCACCAAATAAAATTGAAAGGAAACAATAATAAAGAAAGAACCGGCCTGTCACTGTCAAGAGATAGGGATCCTCTTTTTGTGTTTGCTGATTCCACACCAGTAGCCTACTCGTTTTTATCTTCATTTATTGCTTTTGGATTTATAATCCCAATTCATCCCAAGTATGAGATCTCCATCCTTATTTGAGATCGTCCATTGCTCTTCAATAAAAGAAAAGACATACATCTAATCTCCCACGATCTGCCTCACAAACCAGGACTTAACAGACTTTCAAGCTGCTTCCTTTTAAACGAGGCATCCAGTGAGTTAATAGACATAGACAATCACCACACATACGTGAAGAGCTACATTTTGTTTGCTTTTATGTACCAAAAATTTCAACTCTCCAGGCTTCACTGTACTCCAATAAATATCAATCAAGACCCATTTTTAACCAAAACAAAAACAAGCATTATTCGCTAGTCTAAACTAGCTTTCACACTAAAGCACCAAATCAGGATCTGAAAAGGTTGAACGTATGCAAAAGTTAAATCATGTGCATACAAAGTACTTTTATAAAAAGCAACATCGTCCCAAACCATGCAACATCCACATTCTTGTGGAGTTCAAAAATATTACAATAGACAAAATTGTTATTGTAGAACATTAAAACTGGGGATAAAAGAAGAATCTAGTTTGTCCTTGGTGTTGCCCATTCAACTCTCAGAATGAGATTGTCATACCCATAACCATTCAGTTTGTTGATTGCTCTCTGAGCATCTTCTTTGTTCACAAAGTTCACGAAACCAAAACCTCGGCTCATGCCGAGCTTCTGATCAACAGCAACAAACACGACTTACAGCACCAAAAGGCCGGAACAGCCAAGCAATCAGGTTCCCGTGTCCTCTGAAAGGTTGGTGCCCCGACAGAGTTCTCATCATCCGGCGTCTCATATCAGTTCCAGTTCCTCTGCCCCAGCTCTCATACCCAGGAACATATTTTCCTTCGTTGCACCGAGCAGATAGCTGTGGTTTCTGATGCAGGGGCTTATCAACAATCCTTCAGATGGTGCAGCAAGATCCTTGTAGGGACACCTTGCTGTCCAGTGGTCACCGTCTTACCACAAGTCCTACACACCATGAGAACAGCACCTCCTTGCAAGTTTAGCGCAGGAAATACTCCTGCAACCTTTGTTTCTTCTGGTTTGCTACCTGTTGGCAAGTCCAAAGTTCACTATGGATGTAACAGAATTGTAATCAACAAAACAAGACATCCATTAAACGATAATGGGGTTTATAAAATTAACGGATACAGTAGTAACACCAAAAACAAAAAAGGCAACAATGAAGATATCAAAATTTAATGTTAGTACTATACAGACATAACAATCAATCAAACTAGAAACAAACACAATAAAGCATTTGATATAAACAACAGAGTCAACTAATCTCGTATATGAAATTAACATAAACACTGTCACTCATACAGTTCTGTTATGCAACAAAAAAGCATAAACTGCGTTTATAAAAGATATATGCAGAACAGATCCGTAGTTATGCAGTTAAAGGATGACGTCTGTCTCTAAACTGTAATATAAAAATGCAGTTTTGTCAAAAAGTTTCCACAGTATAGTAAAATTGGTAATTCAGCTAGCATATTTTCTTGAAAGGGGTATAGTAAGAATACAACCTTTCAAGCACAATACAGCATCTGCCCATGTCAAAAACTTAAATAACAATACAAGTATTGATAACTGCCATCACATTTTACGAGACAAATAAGGCCCTTCATTTTTTTTTTTCAGGATGACAATATCAAGAAATAGGCTAGATTCATCAACTTCCCACTCACAAAGTATTATTCTATTTCTAAAATATTGGCTGCTAAGGAACAACACAGCCTAAATGCGCAGCCATCACCGGTCATTTTATCAACACAATCATAATCTTCTTAATTCCTGAAATTGATATCACTAATTAAGCTCAGACTCAGGTTTCCCATTTTACAACGAAAAAGAACATACATTGCAATTTCATAACCCAAGAAGTCATCTTCATATAATTCCTGAAGTGTACAAGCATATAAAATACTTACCTATAAGGAACAAATAAAGCCTCCACAAATGAAACAAAGCATATAAAAAGCAACTGAAATCAATGTCAACAGTTAACAAAATTCAATAACACTTATTCTAATAACTCAAATATCCCCAAACCCCCTCAAAACACTTAAGTTTACAATTAGGCACATGCCAAACTGTGCCATCTTTGAAAAAAATTCGAAAGGGAAGATGAAATCTTTAAACCCTACCGACATAAAAATTGAAAAATGAAAATCCTTAAACCCTATAAAATATATGAGCGAAATAACAAAGTAAACAGCCAGGATAACAATATCTACAGAACCAAATTGACAATCAATACAATTTTTTTTTTTTTTTTTTTTATATATAGCCCAATTCCAAACTAAACTACAAAAACCCTATACATTTCTCAACCACAAATTTTCATCAAACAGACCCTATATCAACAAATACCAATCAACAAACATTATAATAAATGAGCAAACAAAAAGAGAAGTGACAAACCAGGAGCACGAGGGCGCTCAAGCAAGATCTCTTCGGTGGAGACCATGGTGAGTCTGCTACCGACATCTTCGCGCACAGCGTCGCCGAATTTAGCCCAGTTTCTCCTCTCAATGGCACGCTTACTGAGACGAGCATTTGCGAGCTTGCGAGTGCGAGTGGTGGTGGTGATTTTGACCTTATTGCCCTCGTCGTTGAACTTGTACTCAATTACTTTCTTGATCCCGTTCTCATCGGGACCGATCACTTGCTTAGGTGGCAAGAGGAAGTCCAAATCCTCGCCATCGTCCTCGTCGAGTTCTCCCCATCGGAGCTTCGGCTGGGTCGGGTTTTGGGTCGACACTGACATCGTTGTTTTCTTTGTACGCGCGCGCGATAGGGTTAGGGATTTTAGATTTTGTGAAACGGGATATAATTATTATATAGCATTGAGAGGCGGTGTGTGCGCTTGTTGTCTCAACGTTGCCGTTTTAGCTATTTTTTCAAGTTTCAACTTTGAAGATAATTTTATTTTTATTTTTATTTTTTTATATATTTAGTTCTCTCTTTCCTAATAATAATTTGCGTGAGAGGTGTGCTTGCCCAGTACGCGGCTGAACCCCTTAGAACTGAGCCGGACCCAGCAGCACCTAGGATTAAGGAACCGAATCCACCATAGGTTCCGTTCCGAGTCTGAGTACCCGACTGTGCGCAGAAAATTACAAATACACCATTTTTATTCACCAAAATAACAAATATATCCTATAAAAACTATAAGTACACATCAATTATTTACATAAATTACAAATACACTCCATGTATCCATCGGTTCCACCCTAGTGTAACGATCCGATTGCTTCCCTTCGGACTCGTTCGGCCTTAGGTGCTAATCTCCCGACGATTGCCCTAAGTCAGCCTTAGTTGCTCAGGCTCCTAGCCCTGCAAGTAAGAAAACACTCACACAAACTCACAAGAGATGCTAGAAGAGAACTTTTTACTAATTGAGAAAACTTTACAATTCTTGGATGGTTTGGCCAAATGAAGGCCTCCCCCTTTTATAATAGTTGGAGTTTACAATGGACGGTCTAGATCTCCCGAAATCAACGGTGGAGATTAGCTAACTCCAAACTACCACCTACCAACTACTATCTACCAACTACCACATTAATTACAATATTCTAGCATATACAAGAGTATTCCGGAAGCTTCTAGAAAGTAAAGGTGACGCACACCAAGTGTTCGATGAAATGCTTGAGAGGCGTCACATTCTCCCCCACCTAATCCGGAGACGTCCTCGTCGACTCTTCGTGGAATCCTTGGACCTTGTCCTTGAATTGCCACAATGCATCTTCGGTTAGCTTCACTCTTTGGTAGCCTATTCCACTTGACAAAGTATTCTTGACTTGGAGAGTGGCCCGATCGGCTAACACACACTCCACCTCCTTGTCATAGAACTTGGTGTTGCCAAATGGTGCTCGTTTTGATTCTCCCCTTTTCGGATCTGCCGCGTCTTCGTGGTATGGTTTCAAACAACTCACATGGAAGACCGGATGAAGTCTCAACCAAGAGGGTAACTCAAGCTTGTAGGATACATTACCGACCCTCTTGATGATGGGAAATGGCCCTTCATATCTTCGGACAAGGGCTTTGTGTAGCGGCCGGGTGGACTTGTGTTGTAATGGGAGGATTTTGACAAGTACTAGATCTCCCACATTGTACTCCACATGCCTCCGTTTCTTATCCGCCCACTTCTTCATTTTCTTGGTTGCTTTGTCAAAGTATGCCCGTGTGATGTCGGCTTGCTCGTGCCATGACTTAGCAACTTTGAATGCCGCAGGGCTGCTCCCCTTATAATTTGCACCCAAGGTGTGCAGTGTAAGCGGTTGTTGGCCCATCACCATTTCAAATGAGCTCTTGTTGGTGGCTTCACTCCTCTGCAAGTTGTATGAAAATTGGGCTACATCGATCAACTTTGCCCAATCAAGTTGGTTGGCGCTCACAAAGTGCCGTAGATAAATCTCTAGCAAAGCATTCACTCTCTCGGTTTGCCCATCAGTTTGAAGGTGAAAACTTGTGGAAAAGTGTAATGCCGACCCCATCAGTTTAAACAACTCGGTCCAAAATCTCCCGGTGAACCGACTGTCCCGATCGCTGATGATAGACTTCGGAAGACCCCAATACTTCACCACATGCTTGAAAAAGAGTTTGGCCGTGTCTTCCGCTGTACATTCCTTTAATGCAAGGATGAAGGTAGCATACTTTGATAACCTGTCCACCACAACAATAATAGTAGTAAACCCTTCAGATTTCGGTAGGCACACTATGAAATCCATTGAGATGCTTTCCCATGGTTGACTCAGTGTGGGCAACGGTTCTAGTAATCCAGCGGGGCTTCGGTGTTCGACCTTATCTTGTTGACACACAAGACAAGTTCTCACAAACTGTTCCACATTGTCCCGCATTTGTGGCCAATAGTAGGCTGCTTCTAATAGTGCTCGGGTGCGCATTTGTCCGGGATGTCCGGCCAATGTGACGCCTCTCAAGCATTTCATCGAACACTTGGTGTGCGTCACCTGGACATTCTAGAAGCTACCGGAATACTCTTGTATATGCTAGAATATTGTAATTAATGTGGTAGTTGGTAGATAGTAGTTAGCAGGTGGTAGTTTGGAGTTAGCTAATCTCCACCGTTGATTTCGGGAGATCTAGACCATCCATTGTAAACTCCAACTACTATAAAAGGGGGAGGCCTTCATTTGGCCAAACCATCCAAGAATTGTAAAGTTCTCTCAATTAGTAAAGAGTTCTCTTCTAGCATCTCTTGTGAGTTTGTGTGAGTGTTTTCTTACTTGCAAGGCTAGGAGCGTGAGCAAGCAAGGCTGACTTAGGGCAATCGTCGGGAGATTAGCACCTAAGGTCAAACGAGTCCGAAGGGAAGCAATTGGGTCGTTACATTTGGTATCAGAGCAGACCCAATCCGTCTTTCGATGTCCCGCCAAGCGCCCATGCAGGGGTGTCCACCTGTGATTGTGGGTCCACACGAGAGTGAGGTGGATGGGTAGGTAGGGGGCCCCACCTGTGACGAGGGCGTCAAAAGATTGGGTGGGGAAGAATGTAACAAATCCCACATTGGAAGCGTATTGGGGAGGTCTTGGGCTTATAAATGGGGGGAGTCCCTCCACCTAATAGGTTAGCCTTTTGGGTGTGAAACTCCCAGCCCGTGACAAGTAAATGTAACAAATCCCACATTGGAAGCGTATTGGGGAGGTCTTGGGCTTATAAATGGGGGGAGTCCCTCCACCTAATAGGTTAGCCTTTTGGGTGTGAAACTCCTAGTCCGTGACACTAGGTACTCAGACCTTGGTTCCGAGACCCATTCCTAAAGTGGTGGAACCGGAACTGGACTTGCCCAGTGCCGGTTCCACCAAATTTGAAATTGAAACTCACCCTCCATACAAAGGTATAAAGTTTGAGAGGCTCCATGGAAAATGGTAACCACAATGTGCCTCAACTGTCTTCAGGACTCTAAGTACCATCCACAACCAGAGAGTCATCAAATGGGGCCCAGTGATGGCAGGACCAATAATGGTAGCAAAGCCAAGAAACAATATTTCAGCAGGGTGAGCATATTCAGATGTCAGTCCGAATGGTGTTGCATATCTGTGCATTCAAAAAACAACTATAAGTTGCATCTGAGGAAAGCCAGGCTACTAATTTTGTACAGAATTTAGCACCAGATACAAAACCAAGTTTGACTTACTCATGATGGACACTGTGTACGTGCTTGTACAACCATTTTGTATGTAGTATGCGATGCCCCCAATAGAATACAAAATCTTCCAGGATAAAGTAGAATATTATCTGTGAAAGAACCACTTTCCTACAGAACCAGAAGCAGGGTTCAGCAAAACACGCTTCACACAAGATGAATGCATATATACAGAAGATATAGTTGAAAAATGTTTCCAGAGTAACATATGCATCACATACAGCAATGTATTTATGCAAAAAGCCTTAGTGCATAAAGAACCTGAAAATACCAGGACGGCAAAAGAAGACTACTTCGCATGCCCATGAATTTGAAGACGGGATAGGACAAAATCATAACAGGTAAGTTGACACCAAAGTGATACAGCAGTAGTCGAGTAATACATTTCTCCTGAGCTGCAGGGCTGTTGTTTTTTGTCTGCAGAGAACCAGAAATTAGTAAGTATTCTGAACTTCAAGTAGTTCAACATTCAAGACATTGAGAAAAACCTTGGAAAAATGAAACGTCACCAACACTTATAAGGCTACATATGAAAAGCATGCATAAAAGCCCTTAGAAAGTACATATAAATTAAAAAAGGAAAAAACACTATAGCTTTCATCATAGTTGATGCATGTGATAAATGATAAGATAGTCCTTTAAAATGAGAAGCAAGCATCTGCATCAAAGAAATTGCAGCATGATTAAATCATTGAAAGCAATACCAAATCCATTCTAATTATTTAGCAACAAATTTCCGTTCTTTCTTTTTTTCCTTCCCTTCTATTATAATGTCTTGCTTATTATGTATACCAAACAAAAATGGCTTAAGGAAGGGACAGCATTAATATAACAGAAAAGGAGAAAAAGCCAGACCTGAATTTGTATTTGCTCAGCCATCCTGCCCTCTCAAGATATATAAAAGGAAGTCCAGATAAGAAAAAGACACTTTCATGAAGAAAGAAACTTCCTAGACACGCCAGTTGAAAATCGTTGAAAGGTGTGATAAGATACTGCATCATGAAGAAACAAGAGTTTCAAGAATTAACACTTATATCATCAATCATCAATCCTAACCAGATAAAATCATATACAATCCCTTTTCTATCAGACAAATGAGAACTAAAATTTTAGTTACAACAAATAATTAAAGTTCTTGGCATTTAACTCCTCGTAATTGGCGCTAACGATTTCTTGTGAAACAAACAAAGATCTAACAAATGGAGTTTCCTATTCATACTCAACCAGACACGACAGTGAAGCCCCATCACAATCTTTGAAAAACCAAAAATCCTTCAATAACGTATAACACTTATTATCTAAGTCTTGTAAATAAAATCACAGAAAACTAATGACAACCCATTAATTCATGTGCATAAACAAAGAATTACAAGAGAGTAAACACATAAACAGATCCATGGGGAGCAAAGGGTAAAATACTGAGTAAAAGATAGAAAGAAAAGAAAGAGAAAGAATACCTGCCAAGCAGATTCGACGATCGACGCCATGAAAGTTGATTTCAGAGCAATGTGGCTAACAAAACCAAGAGAGTAATTGGAGAAGAAGAGAATGCAAAGAGCGAAGAGAAATGGAAGATTTTAGAGGCAGCAAAACAAGGGCCACCCACGGGATGAGATATGACTTACGCGACGGGACTGTCTAAAGGAATCTGGGCTAAATTTGGGCCCTTTTATATGAATTTTTGGCAGTAAATTTGTTGTCACCGACTGGACGTCCGTGCGTGCGTGCGTGCGTATACCTATATGTGGAGAGGAGCAGCTGTGCGTGGCCAGCGCAGATGTATGACAAACCTTTTGTAGAGTTGCTCTTGTATTTTCCTCCATTCAATCGAATATTTTCAATCCTTTTGACTCTTTCACTACTACCCACTTCATTCGCTTGACCAATTTTAGAGTCGCTGATGTTACTTCTACCAATAACATTACCACTACCAATCTTTCATTTTCTACCCTTTCCTGTCCACTTCAATGAAGGCAGAAACATATTAAATACATTTTCACTACTATTAATTGTGTAAGGAGATTCACTATATAAATGTATCACGTGGATCGGGCATTATATTAACCCTAGGGTGAATCTCATTACACAATTAATAGTAGTTATGTTTGTTTTATTGGTTTGGTAGTTGATTAGGTTTATTATTATTTATTTATTTGATACTAACAAGTCCACATGTATCACTTCCTACTTGTAACCTTCTCAGTTTGGGAATATAATCTCACCAATTTAACCACCTATGAGTGATCGAGTGAGTCAATAAGGACTCTTAAGTATATTACTCTAAAAGTTTTGAGTTTAGTTCCTTTCGATTGATAATAGGAATGATCACTGGAATATTTATCTAGCTATTAACTTTAAAGTTTCAAGAAATTAGTCGAGATACATTAGCTCGGACACCTTATCACCAAAAAAAAAAAAAATAGAAACCAATTTTTGCTTTGCGTTGACCGTAGACATGTGATTGCACAATAAGAATGATCACAAAGAAAAACAACTCTAGTAACATAAAGTTAATGATACAAGTGATGCAGACGCAAGAGGGATCATAATTTCTATCATGCGCCATCGTTATCTTGCAGTCTCTGTTCTTATCTTTAGCATGTGATATTCGAACTCACTCAAAGCCATTAAAGTATAAAATAAATACGTCATTTTCTTGATAGATGACTGACCGGCTGAGGCTATGTTGAGAAGACTATCATGAATCACATCACCAAATAACAATCGAAAGGAAACAATAATAAAGAAAGAACCCGCCTGTCAACTGTCAACAGATATGAGGTCTCTTTTTGTATTTGCATGATTCCATACCAGTTAAGCCTACTACGTTTTTATCTCCATTTATTGCTTACGTTTTTATCTTCATTTATTGCTTTTGGACTTTATAATCCCAATTCCCAAGTGTAGAGATCGCCATCCTTATTTAGAGATCGACCCTGATGAATATGCAATTCCATTGCTATTCAATACAAAGAAAAAACATGCATCTAATCTTCACAATCTGCCTCACAAACCAGGACTTGTAGACTTTCAAGCCTCACCCGATCTGCCTCACAAACCAGGACTTACAGACTTTCGACTTTCAAGCCTCACCCGCTTCCGTTTAAACGAGGCATCCAGTGAGTCACAATAGGCAATACACCACACATACCGTGAAAGAGCTACATTTTTTTTTTTTTTTTCGCTTTTAATTACCAATAATTTCAACTCTCCAGGCTTCAAAACCAGAGCTATCACGCTATATTTTTTTTTTTTTTTGCTTTTAATTACCAATAATTTCAACTCTCCAGGCTTCAAAACCAGAGCTATCACGCTATATCCAAATAAATATCAATCAAGGCTCCATTTGTAACCAAAACAAAAACAAGCATTATTCGGCTAGTCTAAACTAGCTTTCACAACTAAAGCACCAAATCAAGGGGTACTGAAAAGGTTGACCGTAATGCAAAAGTTAAATCATATGAATACAAAGTACTTTTATAAAAAGCCACATCGTCTCAAAACCATGCAACATCCACATTCTTTTGGAAGTTCAAAAATATTACAATAGACAAAATTGTTATTGTAGAACATTAAAACTGGGGACGAAAAGAAGAATCTAGTTTGTCCTTGGTGTTGCCCATTCAACTCTCAGAATGAGATTGTCATACCCATAACCATTCAGTTTGTTGATTGCTCTCTGAGCATCTTCTTTGTTCACGAAGTTCACGAAACCAAAACCTCGGCTCATGCCAGTCTTCTGATCAACGGCAACATAAACACGACTTACAGCACCAAAAGGCCGGAACAGCTCAAGCAAATCAGGTTCCCGAGTGTCCTCTGAAAGGTTGGTGACCCTAACAGAGTTCTCATCATTCCTGCGTCTCATATCAGTTCCAGTTCTCTCTGCCCCAGCTCTCATACCCGGAGGAACATATGTTCCCTTCGTTGCACCAGCAGCAGCAGCTGTGGTTTCTGATGCAGTGGGCTTATCAACAAATCCCTCAGGTGGTGCAGCAAGATCCTTGTAGGGACACCTTGATGTCCAGTGGTCACCCTTCTTACCACAAGTCCTACACACCATAAGAACAGCCCCTCCTTTGCCAAGTTGAGCCAAGGAATCTCCTGCAACCTTTGTTTCTTCTGGTTTGCTACCTGTTGGCAAGTCCAAAGTTCACTATGGACGTAACAGAATTGTAATCAACAAAACAAGACATCCATTACACTATAATGGGGTTTATAAAATTAACGGATACAGTAGTAACACCAAAAACAAAAAAGGAAACAATGAAGATATCAAAATTTAATTCCACATGATACATTTTAAAAAATGTTAGTACTATACACACATGACAATCAATCAAACTAGAAACAAACACAATAAAGCATCTGATATTAACAACGGAGTCAACTAATCTCATATATGAAATTAAAATGAACACTGTCCCTCATACAGTTCTGTTATGCAACAAAAAAACATAAACTGCGCTTCTAAAAAATATATGCAGAACAGATACGCAGCTATGCAATTAAAGGATGATGTCTGTCTCTAAACTGTAATCCAAAAATGCAGTTTTTTCAAAAAGTTTCCACACTATAGTAAAATTTCTAATTCAGCTAGCATATTTTCTTGAAAGGGGTATAGTAAGAATACAATCTTTCAAGCACAATACAGCATCTGCCCATGTCAAAAACTTAAATAACAATACAAGTATTGATAACTGCCATCACATTTTACGAGACAAATAAGGCCCTTCATTTTTTTTTTTTCAGGATGACAATATCAAGAAATAGGCTAGATTCATCAACTCTCCACTCACAAAGTATTATTCTATTTCTAAAATATTGGCTGCTAAGGAACAACACAGCCTAAATGCGCAGCATTACAAAAATTTCAACTCTCCAGGCTTCACGCTATCTCCAATAAATATCAATCAAGACTCCATTTTTAACCAAAACAAAAACAAGCATTATTCGGCTAGTCTAAACTAGCTTTCACACTAAAGCACCAAACAAGGGATACTGAAAAGGTTGAACGTAATGCAAAAGTTAAATCATGTGCATACAAAGTACTTTTATAAAACAACATCGTCCAAAACCATGCAACATCCACATTCTTTTGGAGTTCAAAAATATTACAATAGACAAAATTGTTATTGTAGAACATTAAAACTGGGGATGAAAAAGAATCTAGTTTGTCCTTGGTGTGCCCATCAACTCTCAGAATGAGATTGTCATACCCATAACCATTCAGTTTGTTTTGCTCTCTGAGCATCTTCTTTGTTACAAAGTTCACGAAACCAAAACTCGGCTCATGCCAGTCTTCTGATCAACAGCAACATAAACACACTACAGCACCAAAGGCCGGAACAGCTCAAGCAAATCAGGTTCCCGAGTGTCCTCTGAAAGGTTGGTGACCCTGACAGAGTTCTCATCATTCCTGCGTCTCATATCAGTTCCAGTTCTCTCTGCCCCAGCTCTCATACCGGAGGAACATATGTTCCCTTCGTTGCACCAGCAGCAGAGCTGTGGTTTCTGATGCAGTGGGCTTATCAACAAATCCTCAGATGGTGCAGCAAGATCCTTGTAGGGACACCTTGCTGTCCAGTGGTCACCGTCTTACCACAAGTCCTACACCACCTGAGAACAGCACCTCCTTTGCAAGTTTGCAAGGAATCTCCTGCAACCTTGTTTCTTCTGGTTTGCTACCTGTTGGCAAGTCCAAAGTTCACTATGGATGTAACAGAATTGTAATCCAAAACAAGACATCCATTAAACGATAATGGGGTTTAAAAATTAAGGATACAGTAGTAACACCAAAAACAAAAAGGCAACAATGAAGATATCAAAATTTAATGTTAGTACTATACAGACATAACAATCAATCACAACTAGAACAAACACAATAAAGCATTGATATAAACAACGAGTCAACTAATCTCGTATATGAAATTACATGAACACTGTCACTCTCAGTTCTGTAATGCAACAAAAAACATAAACTCGTTTCTAAAAAATATGCAGAACAGATCCGTATTGATCAGTTAAGGATGAGTCTGTCTCTAAACTGTAATATAAAATGCAGTTTTGTCAAAAAGTTTCCACAGTATAGTAAATGGTATTCAGCTACATATTTTCTGAAAGGGGTATAGTAAGAATACAATCTTTCAAGCACAATACAGCATCTGCCCATCAAAAACTTAAATAACAATACAAGTATTGATAACTGCCATCACATTTTACGAGACAAATAAGGCCCTTCATTTTTTTTTTCAGGATGACAATATCAAGAAATAGGCTAGATTCATCAACTTCCACTCACAAAGTATTATTCTATTCTAAAATATTGGCTGCTAGGAACAACACAGCCTAAATGCGCAGCCTCACCGGTCATTTCATCAACACAATCATAATCTTCTTAATTCCTGAATTGATATCACTAATTAAGCTCAGACTCGGTTTCCCATTACGACGAAAAAGAACATACATTGCAATTTCATAACCCAAGATAACATCTTCATATAATTCCTGAAGTGTACAAGCATATAAATACTTACTATAAGGACAAATAAAGCCTCCACAATGAAACAAAGCATATAAAAGCAATGAAATCAATGTCAACATTTCACAAATTC